GGGAGGCTGAGGCAAGAGAATTGCTTAAGCCCAAGAATTTGATGTTGCTGTGACACCATGGCACTCTACTAAGGGTGGCGTAGTGAGACTCTGTCTCAAAAAAAAAAAAAATAGTTTTTATAGGAAGAATAAAATCAGGTCGTGTAGGATCAAGAGTAAATAGACATGCTAGGATTTTGTGGTGCAATTCTGATGATGAGTAATTTTTAGAAATGAGAATTTTTAAAAAATACCTTCTAGAATGGGAACTGTACTATAACTTCCATATTATAAAAGAAGCAGCAGAATCTCCTTTCAGGTTTACCAAGGAAAGAAACTCTCTTATTCCTTGTGGCCAGTCAGGCAAGTGGGGATTTTTAAATTTTCTATCTTGAAAAGTCTTATTATTTAAAAAGTAGGTGTTTATATTAGTATAATATAAAATGCCTTTCTGCTATATTATAATTTCCCTCCCTGGAGTTTCTATCTTTGTTTTCAGCATTTCTAAATGAATTATTGTATTTACCTTGTATGTAATCATTAATGTGTAATCTTCCTTGTGCTCTTGGTTCACCAGCAGGATGGTAAAATGAAAAGCAAAGTGTATCTTTAAATTATACCTCTCAGTGGAATGGAGGCATTTATTGGGAATAGTCTTAGTGGGAAAAAATGTAATAGTAAATGGAATTAGAATATTATGAATTAAGAAGCAGGGGGAAAAGCAGCTGAAACTATAGTGTTTATTGTAGAAGAGACTAGATGGCTGTGGGTTGGTAGACTGAGGTTTATCTAATCTCGATTTAAAGTTAGCAGGAGGTTAGGGATTATTCAGTGATTCCTTGAATGACTTCTTTTTTCCCTAAGTATGTTGTAAAAAAAAAAACAAAAACATGAAGAAAGCCCAGCAGAGATGACTCCAGTGTAAAATTAGGGTAAATTTAGGGCACTCGATTTTCACTGGGGAGTTTGAAAAATAAATTATTCTTGTCAGTGGGGATTATATGAACTTGCCATAAAATCCACAAAAGCATCTCTTTAAATTTGTAATAAGAACTTCTGTGGCATGTTAATTGAGGTCGTTCAGACAACAGTGGAGCCTTTTGGTTTTATTTGATCTCACAAATAAAAGTTTCATTAATAAAAGTTACTTTGTGGTTAGAGCTAAATGGAGGCTTAAAGGAAAATTATCTTGTAGGTTTTTGAAGCCAGTAAAATGTTTTAATTATTATGCTAACATGAGAGTGTTTCTTGCTAACAAGCCCAAATTTCTTGAAATTTATTGATTTGATTGTATCAATATCCTTTAAAATGAATACATTTAAAGATCTAGTCAAACTTTGAGATGAGAGAAAACTGAAAGCTTTGACTGTATCTCTACTTCTTTCCTTTTGGAATCAGGAGTAAAGAGATTTATAATAATAATGTCAGTACATTCTGAAGGAAGCCAATCTGTTGTGTGGGTTCAGAGATCTGATGAGACAAAATGGGATGTTGTATGTTGATGGTTTCAGTTGTTGAAAGAGCATTTGTACTATCATTTTTCACTCCTTTAGATAGGTTATTTTCACACTTAGTGGAAAGCTTGGACCTATTTGGCATATGTACTTATATATACATATAGGGATATGCCAAAATACTTTGTAAACTTTTTTTGTTAACAATATAGCATATGCATTTCCATGTCTTTAATATTATTCTATAAAAGCATTTCCCATATGTCTTCTTTGGAGTATAAATACCCCCATGGAAATGTGTCCCAGGGATAGATTAATTTAAGAGACATTAAACTAATTAGAAAGAACGTTCATACTTTCTTTTGTTGGTATACCTGAAAGTGTATTAGTCTAGGAAGAATTGCAGCAAAGACACCCATTTAACGTTGCTTATCCCTATGTTTTATAAACTTATTTGACATGGAATCATTTTTTTCATGCCCTGCCTATTAATATCTTATGGGATTTGTAGTCTCATAATATAAGAACATACTTTAGAAATGTTCATCTTCAAAATTATATTAATGGCTACATGGTATTTTATTATATGAATATACTATAATATTTAATCCATTATAAATAATGTGATGAATATCTTTGCAAATGATTGTTGTGTATATTCAGGATTCTTTCTAAAAGGAATGAGTTCAAAGGTCTATTTCAGTATATTTCTAAGTTGATTTATATCACCAAAAGGTCTGTGACTCACCTGTTTTTAATATTTTGCCCACATTGATATTTGATGATCAGTGATTATCCTATTGATTAGCTTGTTTTGTTTCTGTAAACATTTGCAACTGTTCTACCATTATTGAATTTATATGTTTATATGTTTTTTTGAAGTATTGAATATAAAATGTACCAAAACATCTAAGTATTTTTCTTACAAATATATGTCACGTATTAGTAGAATTTAAGAAAGATTTTTTTCTACAAGTATAGATGACTTCATAAATCACTTTTAATAATTTGAAAAATATTTATATAATAAATATTTGTAATTGAATAATCAAAATTTGTTAGATACATTAGTCTGCTTTTTAAATGTTTCTTATATATAATTTAAAAAATTTTTATGTAACTATATTTGTAATTGTCAATACAGATTATTAGAGCTGATGAGAACCAGATGCAACTATAGACAAATAATGTGCAATTCTTATTTTATTTCATTACATAATGAAAAATATAGTAAGCTTTTGTTTTCTTTTTTATTTTAGAATATTAGGGGGGTACACGTTTTGTTTACATACTATGTTTTTGTACAGATGGGCTCAAAGTTCTAAGTGTGCCCTTCATCCAGATAGTGTACACATGAGGAGAGCCCAGTAGAGATTTACCCATCTTTTCTTCCTCCCTCCCGCCAGATTGATTTTCATTGAGATTTGCTTCCATATGTGCACTTAAATGTTGACTGATTAGTTTTTGTTTGGTATTGAGCATATTCATTTGTTTTCTATTCTTGTGATGTTTGACTTAGAAGAATGGTTTCCAGCTCCATTTAGGTTGTCACACAAAATACTAAATTACCATTTTTTATGGCTGAGTAGTACTCCATGGTATGCATTTACCACATTTTACTAACCCATTCATGTATTGGTGGGCACTTGGGTTGTTTCCATGTCTTTGAGATTGTGAATTTTGCAGCTCTAAACATTCAAGTACAGGTGACCTTTTTATAAACGTGACTTTTTCCCTTTGGTATATATGTAGCAGTGGGATTGCTGGATCAACTTAAAGGTCCACTTTAAATTCTTTGAGGTGTCTCCATCCAGCTTTTCATAGAGGTTGGACTAGTGTATAGTCCCACCAACAATGTGTAGGAGTTTCTTTCTCTCCACATTCATACCAACATCTGTTGTTTGGGGACTTTTTAATATAAGCCATTCTCACTGGGGTTAGGTGATATCTCATTATGGTTTTGATTTACATTTCCATAATGATTAGGAGTATAGTAAGCTTTTAAATTCAATGTTGACTACTCTTCAAGTAGTAAAACCTAGTTGGACTTTGAAATTCACTTCCTTTCCCTGCTGTTTGTTGATTATTTCTACTTTAATTGTTGCAGAGGGGTCTGATGAACTGGATAGCTACATGTATCAGACAGTGGGTCATCATGCCATTGACTTGTATGCAGAAGCAATGGCTCTTCCCCTCTATCGCCGAACCATAAGAGGAAGAAGCTTGGATACAGGACAAGTATATACCAAATGTGAAGGTGATGAAGTTGAAGATCTCTATGAGCTTTTGAAACTTGTTAAGGTATGCAGAGTGACCTATTGCATATATTGAATTTAGTTTATAATTTAGTAAATTGTATTCAGTGAATTATTTAGTAATAGGTAATTTGCATCTATTTGTAATACAACTATTCTTTAAAAGGATATTTTATCTTTTTTAGGGTAGGAAAAACCTAAAACTATTAGTATTTCTTCATAATAAGTGATGTTTTAAAAATAAGACTTTTGTTATATTTTGACATCCAGGATTATCAAATGATATTAAACTAAGTTTTCTTTTCCTTGGGATACTGGACTTGATGTCCACTTAAGTCAATTTTTAAACAGATACTTTATTTATTTATTTATTTTTTTGAGACAGGAGCCTCAAGCCGTCCCCCTGGGTAGAGTGCTGTGGCATCTCAGCTCACAGCAACCTCCAACTCCTGGGCTCAAGCGAGCCTCCCAAGTAGCTGGGACCACAGGCGCCCGCCACAACGCCTGGCCATTTTTGGTTGCAGCCGTCATTGTTGTTTGGTGGGCCTGGGCTAGATTCGAACCCGCCACCTTGGGTGTACATGGCTGGCGCCTTAGCCATTCGAGCCACAGGTGCCGAGCCTAAACAGATACTTTAATGCCTACTATGTGTCTGGTGTACTAGACACTGGGCCTAGGGCAGTGATCAAATTAGGCAAAAGTCCATCTAATGGAGCCCACTTTCTAGTGGAAGAGGACACACAATAAACATCAATAATATTCTTGATGGCTCAGTGCCTATAGCTCAAGCAGCTAAGGTGCCAGCCACATACACCAGAGCTGGCAGGTTTGAATCCAGCCTGGGCCTGCCAAACAGCAGTGACAACTACAACCAAAAAATAGCTGGGTGTTGTGGCAGATACCTGTAGTCCCAGCTACTTGGGACACTGAGACAAGAGAATCACTTAAGCCCAGGAATTGGAGGTTGCTATGAGCTGTGATGCCACGGCACTCTACTTAGGGTGATAGCTTGAGGCTCTGTCTCACAAGAAAAAAATAATAATAATAGTAATAACATGCTTGATGATGAAGAATACTAAGGGGAAAGGTGCTAGCACATGACATCAGGCAGTGCTATGGACATGATGCTATGTATGGTCGTCAAGTAAGACCTTTCTGATACAGAAAAGATTAAGTAGATCTGAAGAAAGTAAGAGAGTGGGTGACCCTTATCTCTAGTGGAAGAGGTATGGATTAAATTGTTAAGATGCTGTATTTAAGAGTTTGACAGCCATCAGCACTCATTGTTAATTTTTCTAGACAGAAAATTTAGGAAAGAAAGTGTGGAGCTCATATATCTTATTGAAATAACTAGTAAATGTTAATAGAGGTGATTTTATATTGAGAACATTATCTTTTCATTCTTGTTGACAGTCAACTATTTGAATGCTGTTTTTCTTAAGCATGAATTTGTATCCAGTCAGCTATATAGGTATCTGAGCAAATACTGAATTTAAGCCAGTATTTCCAAGACGTCTTAACATTTTTTTCATAAGGAAAGGTAGGAAGATATCTATCCCTTCCTCTACCGAGGGACTTACATTCATTTTTTCACTTTTTAAAGTTTAGCTTTTTTAGAAATTGTTTAATGAACTTATGTCATGAAAATTTGTAGTTTCAAATAATTGCTTCAGTGCTATACTTAAAAATTGACACCGACCAAAACTTAATTAAGAATTTTGATTCAAAAATACATAAAGCACTTAAATTCTTTTAAAGTTTGCTTGATTAAAATAGTTCCTGTTTTCTATATGGGAATATACCCTTTTTATTTTAAAAAGAAATTAATAGGAAAACCCTTAGAATAGTTCTATAATTTATTCTTTAGTTATATATATTGTAAGAAGTAGATAATTTTCAAAGGAAATCTCAAGAACCTGGTTTCTTTCTCGGAAAAGATACATGCTAAAAAAAATTTTGATTACCAAACAAGGGGGAAGGCTTCAAAGAGTTTCACTTTTCATGGTTGTTTCTCTGTAAAGACACAGTTATGATCTCGACAGTTTTAACTTTGAGGTGTGAGATACTGAGGGCAAATCCTTCATTTTCAAAATTTCTTTTTCAAGGTACAAAGAAATTGAACATTAAGTTTTTAATATAAATCAGTATTACAAAATGGTGAGAGTCAGATGAGAACTAATTAGATTGCCTTAAAAATTATAAACTTGGTAACTTTGGAGAAGCTCTGTGATAATAATAGCACTTCAAGAAAGGGAAAGATGATAAATTACTAATCAATTCAATTGAAAATGGACATATTAGTAGTAATTAAGAAGAAATTTCCCCTTTGATCCATGCTGTCTTGGGAGAAATGGATGCTTTGCCATTATCTTTACAGTAACCGTCAGTTATGACATAAATTAATGCTAATGTTAAATCTTGACAACTTCTGCTTTGGAAGTTCGTACATGATAATTATAACTATAGTTGAAAGAGATGTTATCAAGTTGTCTGGGGCTAAATAGCTCCTTCTTTTTCTGTGTAGAAATATTAATTTGACTATAGGATATTCTGAGGATATAAATATCAGAAATATATTGCTTTCATTGAAGAGACTGTGTAATGAGGCTTTTATAGTTAAATCCACTTAAGAAACACTGGTACGAAGATTCCAATGGAGGTCTTACATATTCTAATGAATAATGGACTAATTATGGAAAAAAATGAATGTAGAAAAGCTATAATTTTTCAAGTTAGTCTTGTTCTAAGAAAAAGAAATTGCATTTTTAATCTTTTGAATATTAGTGGAATATTGAAGGCACTTAGATTTATTTTGATTTTAGTATTTATTCATAGCAGATTACAGTATTGTTGTTGATCCACTGATGAATTGATAGGCACACAGGAATAATCCACATCTTTGAATTTTGAATTGTGCTGCAATAAACATTTCATTGATAAAATGACTTCTTTTTGATAAAATGACTTCTTTTCTTTTAGATAGATACCCAGTACTGTGACTGCTAGATTAAATGGTAGATTTAGTTCTTTGAAGAATCTCCATACTGTTGTACATAGAGGTTATACTAATTTTGCAATCCAACCTATAGTGTATAAGTTTCCCTTTCTCTCTTCATCCATGCCACCATCTATTGTTTTTGGACTTTTTAATAAAAGCCATTCTAATGGGAAAGGGAATATCACATTGTGGTTTTAATTTTCATTTTCCTGATAATTAGTAATGTGAATATTTTTTCATATGCTTATTTGCCATTGTGCATAAATCAGTAGCATTCCTGTACATCAGTAGCAGTCAAGCTGACAGTCAAATTGAAAATTCAATACCATTCACAGTAACTACAAAGTAACTACAAAGAAAATAAAATACCTAGGAGAACACTTAACCAAGGAGGTAAAAGATCTCTACAAAGAGAATTAAGAAGCACTGAGGAGGGAAATCACAGATGACCACAAATAAATGGAAAAACATCATGTCCATGGGTTGGTAGAATCAGCATTGTTAAAATGTCTGTACTATCCAAAGATTCAATACAATTCTAATCTAGATACCAACATCACATTTTACAGTTCTAGAAAAAATAATTCTGCACTTCATTTGGAACCAGATAAGAGCCTGAATAGCCAAAGCAATCTTAAGGAAAAAGAAAAAAACAAAACTGTAGGCATCATATTACCAGACTTCAAACTATACTATAAGGCTATAATAACCAAAACAGTATGGTAATTGGCATAAAAATAGAGACATAGACCAATGGAACAGAGCAGAGATCCCAGATGTAAAACATCCCACATGCAGCCAACTGGTCTTTGACAAAGGAGACATCAATATACACTGGGGAAAAGAAGCCCTATTCAATAAATGGTGCAGGGGAAATTGGATAGCCACATTCAAAAGGATCAAACAGGATCCATATCTCTCACCAACCACAGAAATTAAATCAAGATGAGTGAAAGAGTTAAATATAAAGCATGCAACTGTAAGAATTTTTGAAGAAATGTAAGAAAAACTCCTCTAGATATTAGCCTAGGCAAAGAATTTTTAAAAAAGACCCAAGTGGCATTTACAACAATCACCAAAGTAAATAAATGGTACTTTATCACATTAAAAAGTTTCTACATTGTTAAGGAAGTAATCAACAGAGAAAAATAGGCAACCTACGGGATGAGAGAAAATGCTCAATGTGTGTATATGTATAAAGAGCTAATAGCAAGAATCTACGAAAAACTCAAGCAAATGAGCTAAAAAATCAACCCCGTTAAAAAGTAGGCAAAAACACAAACAGAAGCCTCTCTGTTAACTTCTATGGTTTTGTTTTTATGCTGGACATACTGAAATATCATAGTAATGCTGTATGGAATGTTGAAGCTTGCTTCTTCTGCTTCTCTTCCACAACTCCCCATTGATAGCCACAGTCCTCTTTCTCTCATTGCTAGTTCAGGGATATACATGTAATCCAGGTGAAAGCCACAACATGGCATTCTTCTGGCTATATTGATTAGATCAGAGATGGTTTTGTTAAACTATATGGTCCTGATAAAATGAAGCATAGAATGATAGGTGGTCGGCAGAAAATAAGCTCCTTTTCAGAGAGAGGTGTGGATGTGAGACTTAAAACTGCCATGAACTTTGATGTCAAATCTGACACACAAAAAAGAATTGCAGTGTATGGATGGCCCTGGAAAATCCTTTGCTACTAGTTATTTGATAATTCACTCCTTTTGATTTTCTCTGTTTTGTATTTGTGGTATTCTCATTGGTCAGATATTATACTTGTCTACAGGTTGTCCCAAAAGTGACCATATAACATACATACATAGGGAAAATAGGAAACTATAGCTAAATGTACCTTTATTTACAAAATATTCATTACAAAATATTTCTCTACATGTTTACATATAAAGGACATTAAAAATATTAAATATACATAAAATAATGAGTTTGTTAATTTTCCAATGTACAGTGACCTTTGGGACACTGTATATTGAATCTTGATGGCCCTTTTCTTCCTCACATATTTTCTTCCTCACATATTTTCCTCACATATG